GGGTGAGCGAGCCTGGCCCTTCCTTCCAGGGAAACTGGGTGGGCCTGGCTGGAATTTGGAAGGAGGGTCCCTTGGGTGCATGGCCCCCCCAGCCCGTGTTTTGTCCTCAGTCCCGTCACAGTTATAATGAGGGTTGGTTTCCTGAAAAGTAGACGCAAAGAAAATTGCTGCTGCAGCTGGATGCTCGGCACTCAATTGCTCCAAGGCAGGCAAGGCCACTGATGGGCCAGAGCTTGTTCCTTTGTTCATTCACTGGTTGGGTCAGTGGATATTCGTTCAGGCTGGGCCCTGGGCCCTGGGCGTAACCCACACAGATCCATGGTCTTGGAGCTCAGGGGAGGTGCAGGAGAGGGGTGAACGATCCCACAAGGAAAGGCCTGTGGTGAGCACCGCAGAGAGGGCAAGAGCAGGGAAGCCTGACGGAGCCGGGGCCAGGTATGGAGGCCTCTTTGAGGAAGGGACAGTTCATCGGAGACCCCAGAGATGACAAGGAAGAAGCCACAGAGAGCAGGGCCTTCCCAGGTGGAGGAAAAGGTGGTGAGCAGGATCAGATCCCTGGGAGGGACAAGAAAGGTCAAGGAGAGAACATTCAGGAGCCAGCATGGTCCCCTGGTGGGAGAGGAGGGGGCTGGGAGGGCGGCAGGAGGCAGGGCTGGCCTTCTGGAAGGTTCCCAACTGTGTCTGGATGTTGTGGTCAGGGGTCAGTTTGAACTTTATTTCTTCAGATTCTGTAACTTATGGTTTGGTTTGCTCCTTATCGCAATGCTTCCTGATTTTTAAAAATTTATTTATCTATTATTTATTTATTTATATTTGAGATGGAGTCTTGCTCTGTCGCCCAGGCTGGAGTGCAGTGGCGCGATCTCGGCTCACTGCAAGCTCCGCCTCCCGGGTTCACACCATTCTCCTGCCTCAGCCTCCCGAGTAGTTGGGACTACAGGCGCCTGCCACCATACCCAGCTAATTTTTTTGTATTTTTTAGTGGAGACGGGGTTTCACCATGTTAGCCAGGATGGTCTTAATCTCCTGACCTTGTGATCCATCCACCTCGGCCTCCCAAAGTGCTGGGATTACAGGCATGAGCCACCGCGCCCGGCCTTTATTTGTTTATTAGAGACAGGGTCCTGCTCTGTTGTCCAGGCTGGAGTGCAGTGGTGCAATCACAGCTCACTGCAGCCTCAAACTCCTGGGCTCAAGTAATCCTCCCATCTTAGCCTCCCGAGTAGCCAACTACAGGTATATGATGCCACATCTGGCTAATTTAAAAAAATTTTTTGGGCCAGGCGGGGTGGGCTCACGCCTGTAATCTCAGCACTTTGGGAGGCCAAGGCGGGTGGATCACGAGGTCAGGAGATCGAGACCATCCTGGCCAACACAGTGAAACCCCGTCTCTACTAAAAATACAAAAAATTATCTGGGCGTGGTGGTGGGCGCCTGTAGTCCCAGCCAGTTGGGAGGCTGAGGCAGGAGAATGGTGTGAACCTGGGAGGCGGAGCTTGCAGTGAGCCGAGATCTCACCACTACACTCCAGCCTGGGTGCCAGTGTGAGACCCCATCTCAAAAAAAAAAAAAGAGTTTTTTTTTGGAGAGATGAAGTCTTGTTATGTTGCACAGGCTGATCTTGAACTCCTGGCCTCAAGCGATTCTCCTGCCTCGGCCTCCTAAAGTGCTTGAATTACAGGTGTGAGCCACCGTGCCTGGGCTCTTCCTAACTTAAAATCAATTTGTTTTCAGGATCAAAGTAGTTAACCAATGGTTTCTCCAATTTCGGCCTGAGTGAACAATATATTAATAAAAAACCCCAAACACTTTCTTTAAAGTCTGTGGCAAAATGTGAGCTTCAAGATATGCCTCAATGTAACTTTTTACAATATAGGATAAGCATTGTGTATCCAAAATGTTTGGGACCAGAAGTGATCTGGCTTTTGAAGTTTTTCAGATTTTGCAATATTTGCAATGAGATATCTTGGAGAGAGGACCCAAATCTAAATACAAAATTCACATGTTTCACACATACCTTGTACATGTAGCCTGAAGGTAATTTTATGCAACATTTTCAGTAATTTTGTATATGAAACCAAGTTTTGGCTGCAACCTGCCACATGAGGTCAGGTATGGAATTTTCCACGTATGGCATCATGTTGGTGCTCAAAAAGTTTTGGATTTTGGATTATTTTGGGTTTCAGATTAAAGATATTCAACCTGTACATGCTAATGGAGAAAACGGGAACAGTAAAGTATAAGAAGGAAACAAAAACCACCCAGAATTCCCCAAAGACAGCACTGTGAACATTTTGGATATTTTTTCCTGGATATTAAAATATCTTTAATTAGGGATCACTCCTGTAAATACTTTTATATCCTAATTTTTTATTTATGTTATTTCCCCACGTGATAAACACAGTTTGAAATGACTAAATCATCTTCCCCTTTGTAGATGCAGGATGATATATTTAACTCTCCCCGTGTTGGGCTTTGACCTCGCTTCCAGTATTTTGTTACTCTAAATACCATAGACATGAACATTTTTAGGTACTTGTCAAAGTATTCCCAATATTCCCTGGCCAGATTCGTGGGCATTGAATTCATTCATGTGGTCAATAAACACGTATTGAGCCTCTATCGTGATGAAGGCGTGGTCCAGGTTCTGGCTTCCTGGGTCACGAGGGAAGCTTTTTTCAGAGTCTTTGTGCACAATTTCATATGGTTTTGCGGGAGCGCTGTCTCCACCAGCAGCGTGTTTGGGTTCGTCTCACCATGGCCTTGCCAGCACTGCATGTGATCACAGTAAGTCTTGGCTATGAAATCTAAACATTCAGTCTTGCTTTTGTGACCTGAGAGCTTCCCAGAGCACCTGGCCCAAGTACCTTGGTCTGGGAGGGTGCTTCCGTTTTCCACCCCTGGGGTTCTGACATTTCCTAGGAGGGTGACAGATACTCCGAGGTTCACACAGAGCCCTGGAGGGAAGGTGGGTGTGGACAATGCTATGGACAGAGGAGGAGCCACTGAGCAGCAGCAGGGCAGGGGCAGCCTGGCCCCGGGTCTCTCCTGGGGAGGCAGTGTTCTGTGTGCTGACCAAAGGGTGCATGTGAATGTTGGGGAAACAAGAAGGTGGCTGGGCAGGGACCTGAGCTGCCTATTCAATAACTGCTCTCCCCATCCTTCCACATCACCTCCCTCCCCCCATTTCCCAGCGTCCCTTGCAGCCCTGAGGGACCCCACCCAGGCCGGTCAGTGGTGTGTAAGTGGAGGCATGAGGGTGGCTTCTGGGGAAGCTGGTTAAGAGGGACCGACTCAGCTGCCTCTTCCCTCACCTTCTCTCTTCCTCCCACTGGAACGCAGATGCTGGAGATGCAGCTCTCCAAGGTGCCCAGAGGTCACAAGCACCCGGGAGCCATGGTTGACCAGACGGCCGGGAGGAGGCTGGGCCCAGCAGACTCTGCAGCTGTTGGCCAGCCCAGGCTTGCCGCTCTCCAGGCTTCTTTTGGGAGGAAAAATAAACCCTTCGTTTGTTTAAGCCACTGTTTTGTAAATATGTTAATAATTTCAACAGATAAGAAATATGCATTTTTTTTTTTTTTGAGACAGGGTCTTGCTCTGTTGGAGTGCAGTGGCATGATCTCGGCTCACTGCAACCTCCACCTCCTGGGCTCAAGCGATCCTCCCACCTCAGTGTGCGCCACCACGCCTGGCTCATTTTTTGTATTTTTAGTAGAGATGGGGTTCTGCCATGTTGCCTAGGCTGGTCTGGAACTTCTGGGCCCAGGTGATCTGCCCACCTCAGCCTCCCAAAGTGCTGAGATTACAGGCGTGAGCCACTGCGCTTGGCCATCTATATGCATTTAAATGGCACTGATTCCTCCTAAAAGCACCTTTCCTTGTGCTTTTTTTTCCTTCTGTATTTCTTAGAAGCCAAGTCAGCCCGGTACCCTTGTGCATGAGGCCTGTGGATGTCCTGTGACTGCAGATGACCAGGTCTGTGTGCTGGGTGAGGGGCTGCCCTGCCTGTGGCCTCACATTCCATGTTGGGGCTGTCCACAAGGCATTTCGTGGCACTGTGGGCTCCCATGCCATGGGAAAACGTCAACAAAAAATGTCACTAATGTGTCATGAGATCATGAGGTTCTCCATGTCTTGAATGGAAGAGTGGGGGGAAGCGGACACCCCTGTGCCTGCAGAGGAGTCTCCGGAAGGCATTCCCAAGATTAGTGGTGGCTTTGTTGTTTTGTTTTGAGATGGAGTGTTGGTCTGTTGCCCAGACTGGAGTGCAGTGGCGTGGTCTCGGCTCGCTGCAACCTGTCTCCTGGGTTCAAGCGATTCTCCTGCCTTGGCCTCCCGAGTAGCTGAGATTACAGGCGTGCCCCACCACGCCCAGCTGATTTTTGTATTTTTAGTAGAGACGGAGTTTCGCCATGTTGGCTAGGCTGGTCTTGAACTCCTGACCTTAGGTGATCCAACCTCCTTGGCCTCCCAAAGTGCTGGGATTACAGGTGTGAACCACCGCCCCTGGCTAGTTTTCGTTTTTTTTTTTTTTTTTGCGGGAGGAAGATATAATGTCGTTTGTATGCAAAAATTACAGTAATATTAATGATGATAATGGTATTAATCAGAGTTCTGGGATGGTTTTACTGCTAGCCACCTGCTGGGAACAGTTCTTATGACACACCTGGGGCAGTGTGGCACAGTGCAAAGATACTGAAGCATCTGGAACTTCTGGGCCCAGTCAACCCTGGCTGGGTAAAGAACATTCTCTTGGAGTTTCTGTCCTTGTAAAGGAGGAAGTCAGAAGAGACACTCCCGATCTCTTTCCTCATTCCAACTGCAAATTCCCTCGGGCCTGGGGCAGCCCCTCCCCGCGGCAGACAAAGCCCCTTTTCTCATTTACCTTGCTTGGGCTTAGAAACACAATTAGTTGTGATAAATGACCAATGCCACCAAAAAAAAAAAAAAAAAAAAAAAAAAAAAAAAGAAAGAAAGAAAGAAAGAAAAGTCCACGGAAGCGGTGTAGACATATTTTCATTTATTAGAAAGAGGCCTCTACACCATAGCCACCTCTCTCTGTTACTTTACACGTCTTTCTTTTCCCCTTAGAATACTGTACAGCGGACACAAAAAAATCCCAAGGCAGGAAAATACAAACTGGCATATTTAATCAAAACAAGATCATATGAAATAACAAGCCAAGTGAAATGTCTGTCAATGGTTTTAATTACAGTACAAACAATATAAATAAAGCATCACTGAGTCATTGTGAAACATAAAGTTGCTGAATGAGGTAATAGAAAACATCCAAAAAAAAAAAAAAAAAAAAGCCTCAACCCATCTGTGGATAAGCCCACGCTGCCCTTCCACCTCTATACACTGCTATTTACAGAAACAGAAAACCGGCTGTAAGGTGGGCTGGCCTTCCCTGCCCCTGCCTAGAAATGCATCTCAGTTGTCACCTTTGACCTGCTCCGGCTCCCCTTTAGGAAACACGCCCCTGTGGCAAGATGAGAACCAAATTCCAAGCTGGCAGAAGGGAAGAGTCAGGGCAGGAGAGTGGGCCAGACCTGCCCCTGGGACCCGTGCGACCCTCCCCTCTCCAGGCTGAGCCCAACAAAGGCCTCCCCAGTGCTCAGGTGCTGAGGGCTGAGAGGGGCTGCATCTGGAGAATGAGATGTATTTCAGACACAAAAAACCCAGCTGTGGGAGGGAAACTGATGCTTTTCAAGTCTGCAAGAAGGAATTATTTCTAACATTACAGTGCTGGGCCCTCTCCCCCGTTCTTAATGCCATGAAGCAGCTTCTAAATGCACACTTTGCCCATCCACCATGCAACTGCCCCGCCCCTCTCCAGTCACCTGTGCACCCTCAAAACAGCCGTGCCGAGAACGCTGCTGGGACCCTTGGGGCTGGGGAGGTCCCTCATGTGCCAACCTGAGCAGTGCGTGAGACCCACTCCCCAGACTGGCCCCTGGCTCACAACACCCTTGGAGCCTTCTCTGTTCTCCTACCCTGAGAACCCAGGCGGGAAATGCCTTTGCCCAGGGACCTCCAAGAATGTCAAGGGACACCCCAGGGCTGTGGTACTGGGCAGGGGCTGGGCTGCCTGCCAGTGTCTGTGTAAGGCCCATCAGGATTCCATGTGCCTGGACTGTCCTTCCTCAAGTCCAAAGGCCCCTGACATCCTCATGCACAGCTGCTGACTGAGTGGGCTTCCAGTGTCTTCTTTTTACCAGAGCTCTCCAAGCAGCTCAGGCATTAGCTTCCTGGGCCAGTGTAGACTGCTCGGCACCAGGGAGATGCAGGCAGATGAGGGTTTAATCTGATTTAGGGGCAGCTGTTCCCAACAGCTGGTGTGTTAAGGGGGTTTGCTCCACTGGGAAGATTCCCCAACGCACTCACGCCTTGTTTGGTTCCTTTCTTTCACCTGCATCTCAAGGCAAAGGCCATGCAATTCCCCCAGAGAGCATTCTAGATCAGTCCGACGTGGACTTCGACAAGGAGTCTCTATCATATGGTTTCACCATCCTCGGGTTGGGGGGTGCTCCCTGCAGACGCCCTGTGCCAGGCCAAAATGAAAGCCAAGCCCTGAGCCAGCTCTCCCCACATTCATGAGGATATCCTGTTTCGGGCACAGGGAGTGGCCCAGCTTGGGTGTCCCAAGGCCGGAAGCCACAGCTGCCTGCTGGTCTCACTTAGCAGCCTTAGGCTTGAGCACTGGGGCTTTCAGAGCCCATGCAAGTCTCTGCCGGCCACTCCGGCCCCATCTGCCCATCTCCAGGCCCTGAGGCCCATCTGTAGCGGGTGAGGGCCTCAGACAAGAACAGTTCTACCAAACAGGTGCAAAACCCCAAACCAAGTGCTGTCGTTTTACACCAAAACCAGCACCTCATAGGGAAAGACAGTAAGAATGGGTTTTCAGATTTAGGTCTGCTTACTGCTACGGGGGTGGGTGTTTACTACACTGGTGAACTTAAATACTTTCTCATACAACTCACAGGTTTAAAAAAACTTGTTGGTTTCACAGACTCCCTTTCCAGAATCACCTGCCAACGCAGACGTGTGATGCGAAGAAAGCCGCAGACACACCGATTACATGGTGCGGCAGGGGGTGGGGCATTCATATTTCAACAGCCTATTTAAGGGCAGTATTTCTTCTCTAAGGGGAAGAAAGTTTGTGTTTTTGAAACAGTAAATATCACAGTACATATGTCTTCCTCCATGGAGAGGGGAGGGGTCTGCCATAGGGGCTGCTGTCTCATCACAGACGGGGCACTGGTCACTTCTCTCTAATCACAGACAGCGCAGCATCCCAGGGGCCAGCGATCAGGATCACTCCCTCGCTGTGTCGGAAGGACCAGTCTGAGGACTGTGTCTTAGTGACCCAGCTACTCCAAGGAGATACACCTGCGCCCCTTCTGTCTCCCACATAATGGGAGCAAAGCTGACATTTCGCTGAAAAGCAGCCTAACATGTGTGGTGAAATGACAGAGGGCCCGTCCCCACAGGGCACACAGCAGGGCTGGGGCAGATCTGTCCACTGGGCAGGGCAGGGGGGTCTCCTGGCCCCACTATCACCTGGGCGTGCTGGCCTGGCCTGGGGGGACGGGGGCGGCATTAAAGCCGTGTGACCACAAGGGCTCCCTGAAGAAAGCCACTCAGAAATCCAAGTGTGAGCCTCGGAAAGGTGGAGAATGCACGCGTTGATGCCAAAGGCCCTTATTTACCTTTTTGGGGAAGGATGAGGGTGACAATCATTCAAGATGTGACTTCACAACACGTGAAACCCCCATCTGAGGCGGCGGTTGGAAATAAATTACATTTCCTTTGAAGGAAAGCTGTGTGTCTCCAGCACTTTTCTATCAGAACTCCTTCCTGACTGCTTTTTAATTTGTTTGCTTGAAGGCCATAAATACAACCCCAGGGAGTTCTAGAAAAGTCTCAACGACCTTGTGCAGGAGGTGAGGGACGGAAGCAGAGCACAGCCGTGCGGGGAGGGAAGCGGCCCCTCCGGAGGTTTGGGGTTTGCTTTCCAAACACCTTTGCCTCCTGAGTGGTTGCTGAGGCCTGATTATACCCCATCTCAGGGGAAGCTACATCGTTGCCAGGTTTCCCACCTCCCAGGGCAGGAATATGGATTTCTCCTCATTTCCAGAACATCCTAAGTGCAGGGAGGAAGAGTTGGCATCGTGGGCACCACGGGGACCCAGGGCGCCTACGGCACATTGCATGCTGCAGGCTGAGCAGGTCTCTCTTGTGGGGTAAGATGAGTCCACCAAGTTCAAGCACAAAACACACTGGGAGCCTGGGGACGGGGAGAGAGGGACGGCCTGCAGCCAAGCACGGCGACCCGGGGTGCTCTCCAGCAAGCTCCGATCTCAGACAGGAGGAGGAGGGGAGGCCCGATGCACGCGTGAGTCACGCAGCTCACGGCAAGGGGAAGGTGGCATCTGAAGGGAGGGACGCTGTCCACGCCGACACCACCTCAACAGGCTGTGGGGGAGAGCGAAGGGTCGTCTTGGCCCTGACCAGCACCGGCGAACAGCACGAGGGCAGAACTCAGCCCCTTCCTGCCTCTAGAAAATCAACTTCAGACTACAAAGTGGAATATCCACGTTGAGAAAAGTGGGCAGGTTCCAGAGAGGCTCTCAGGGAGCAAGGGATGCTGTTCCCCGCCATGTGGAGGGCCAGGGCAGGGCACTGGCAGGCTGAGAGAGGAGGGCCCCGGGCTCTACTGGAGGCGCTTGGCAAACATGCCCGTCACGGCCTCCCCTGGGTGCAGGCTGGAGGACAGTGTCAGCCACGGGCAGGTCTCCTGGCGTGTGTGCCGGCTTTGGTCCCATCAGTGTTTCTGTTCTTAACAAGTGCTCCGGTCTCCCCAGCATCCCCTGGCCAGGTGTGAGGCTGGCATTTATCACACGGGTTTGAAACCTCACTGCACCCTGCAACTTTCACAGATGAGGAACAAGAGCTCAGGAAGCTGGGTGCCTGTCCAGAGCTGTGCGGGAATCCTCTGGAGGGATGGCAGGGCCGGCTGAGTCTAGGGGTCCGGCTTTTTCATCAGACCATGTTTCTCCCTAACAAGGTTAGTAGCAGCTCCTATGCAGACATAGGGAATGACCTCCAATGTGCAGATGTCACAAAAACAGGAAGACTGGTATCTACACTGGATGACAGAGGCCGAACCATGCAGACCTCATCAGGCTGGGCCAAGTCTCAGAAGAGGGAGTTTCAACACAAGGCCCTTGTGCTGAAAAGCCACTGCCCAGAACTGGCTTGTGGACTAGGGGCCCTGCAGGAAATGCAATTCAGTAAGATCCCGCTCTCTCCTGCGTCTGAGAACCCTGCGATTGGCGAGCGACCTGCCGCCTTCGCCCTCCTTTCCGGTGCATATACATTGTGCACACACTTGGGAGATAGGACACTGCACCTGGTTTTGGGGCAAATGACTCAGAAATTTGTCACTTGCTCGCCCTTGGGCTGCTCATTTCCTGGGATGAAACAGAGAGAAGGACCAGGGACAGGACTGGGGTGCTGGGTGGGGCAAACCACTTGTCTGCCCCAGCACCTCAGGTCAGAATCAGAATCCTGTCCCTGCGGGATGTTCCTGCTGCAGCCAGGTCTGCACCACACCCCTCCACACCCCTCCACTCCCCTCCAAGTTCAGTCTCTGTGAAGCTGAACGTCGGGGTGCAGACGTGTCCAGATCACCCACAGGGTTACACAGGCCGCTCGTGTGCCTCCCCCAGCTGGCTGTTTCTCGTCAAGGCAGAGTTTTAATTCTGAACAGGAAAGGGGAGGTGGATCCTGCAGTGGTGATCTGTCATCATCACGTCACAGAACTGAACATGGAAATGAACAACAAAAACTCAACTCCCTTCTCAAACACGTTACTCCTAACTCTGCCCTCGGTCCTTGCCTCTCCCAGCCTTGGTGGTAATTAGCTTGAAAGTGGGAACAAGAGTGTGGTCAGCAAAGAAAGGGCTTCGGTTAGACACCGAAATACAAACAGATTAGCCAGCTGTCTTCTTTATTTGGAAAGACCCTTGAAACTGCCTTTCCTTTTGCTACTAAAACTCGGGCCCTAGCAGGCGGCTGCTCGTGGAGCAGATGGACGTCGCCGAGAATGGCAGGGGTGGGGCTGTGTTTTCTGAGGGGGAGTCATGGCGGCCCGTGCTGGGGACCAGGAAGGGAAAGAGCCAATCTAGCATTCAGGTTGTGGAAGGCAAAGTGAAACAAGAAGTCAGTTGGGAAAATATTATATTATAAACACATAGAATAATATGTACACAGTCATATACATCCCAAAGAGAAGCCTCCAGGAGTTCCGTTTCTTCTCAAAAGAAGCTTCACTATGATAAAGCATTCCTATAGTGGGAATTCACTACAATGAAATAATTTAACAATTTCATTTATGCTATATTTGTGTCCACTACAGAGTCTACGGTGAAGGCTGTGTGGAGCGAGTGTGTCTAGTGGATTCGAACACCAACGCGCTCTTCAAAAATAGGCAATGACCTTTTTTTCTTTTCTATTCACATTTACAATAGCTACACAGTGATGAAACGCAGACTGAAAAATCAAATGGCAGGACGATGGGACTGTCGTCAAAGTTCTCAGACTTGTGGCTGCTGCACCTGTTATCCTTTTGGATACGAGTGAGCTCCACTTAGCTTCGTTAAGATTAGAAATTTCCATGAAACACTTACCCACATATAAATTATGTGTAAAGCTTTATTTCTTCCCCACCTACTTTAATTTTTTTTTAAAAAGTGAAAGAAGAGGAAAAACTCTTATAAAATATAAGGTTTAATATATGAGAGCAAGGAACACCCCGGAGGCTGCCAGCACGTGCGGCTTTGTGTTTCTGTGCTACAGGATTCTAGTGTCCTCATCTTCCATCGTGACAACCCTTCTCCCCGCGTCACAGTGCCAATGGGCTCTGGGCAAAGCCGCCCCGTTTGCTTTTAATCTGAGGGATGCTGTGGTTTGGCTGACTACGTTTGACTACCACCACGGAAGGCGGCGGACGTCTGAAGCGGCCAGATACCGCGACGATGGAAATCAGGCGAGGTACTAGCGTGGAGGGCCGGGCTGCCGGGTCAAGGTTGCCTGGGTTCTCAGGAGCCAGTCTGTGCCACAGAACCATCAGCAGCTGCCTTCCGTAAGGCACCTCGGTCTGGCATTCGGAAAACCACCCCGTCTTGCCAGAGCCCCTTGGTCTTGGTTAGCAAAAGCCGTATCTGATCTACATCATGCTTTCAATCATGAGAAACCACATTCCTTCTTTCTCCTTTCTAATATACTTCAGTGTGTCTTTTTTTTCTTTCTCAATTTTAATAAGCAAATTGTACCACCGTCTTATTCTGAGATGCTCCTTTTTAAAAGCTGTAGATCACATTAATGGAAGTGTTTACTGCTGGGAATATTTTCCATGTACAATGATCTGTAACCCTATCTCAACTAGTTGCACATTATTAGTTCACATCCAGTTCAATTTATAAATTAAGAGAGGTGCCATTTGTCTGTACAAAAATCAATGCATATTTATGAACTTCTTTTATTCAAATATATTTTCACACATCTTATCTAAATACATAATACAGAAGCCTGTGTGACTTGGGCAATGTGGCCCAGGAGGGCCTGAGACTAACACATCCACCTCGGCAAAAGGACATAAAATCTCTCTTACGGTCGGAAAAAATAGCCTTTTGTGTATTTACTTAGTTTACGAAATATATTCGAAATGCTATTGTTAGCTGAATTTGTGATTTCCTTTTGAATTTCTGAGTTACTCTTATTTATTTTTCCCATTTTGTTTTTGCACCAAGGAGACCGCAGTCAAATAATACTCAGCGACTGATTTCCTCTCTTTGGACTGAAAAATTAAACAGATACTAAATTATGACAGTGAATTTAGAAAGGAGGGCTCCAAGGGCTTGAAAGAACATGTCTGGGATAATATGATGCTTCTAAGAGTATTGCAATCACATCGTGGCAATCACCGGAGCGTGCCACGTAACTACCTCCTCGGCTAATATGCTTTCTTCTCGGTGATGACTAATCATGTTCTATTAAACAGCAGTAATGCTGGAAGAACTCAACTATACAAGTGTAATGAAGCCAGTATTCTCCCTGGACAGATTAGCTACAACTGATTTGACACATACCATCATAGGGGCTTCAAACCTGACAAACTGTGTGCTTGCTTCTGATTTATGCCGTCAAGCTCCTCAGAGAAGAGATGGAATCCAAGTGTTCCGTTTGCTAGAGGTGAAATGTACTATGTGCTTAACTGCCAGTTAACGAAAGTTGCCCCTTCTCCTTGTTCCTCGCCTCCCCTCCCCCTCACGTCCCCGTCCCTTGTGCCACCAGGACAAGGGTCCTGCGCCGTGTGCTATCGTCAAAGGGCCGAGGCCCGTCGCTCTCTCCTGTTTGTGGTTTAGGGGAGTTTATGAAAAGGAGCCACTTCTGCAGTCTCCCGGCCGCCTCTTTGCCCCTTGAGGATGTCCAGGTTTTGTGATTTTGTTTGGGGTGACAGTGGGTGGGCGGGAGGGAGGCGGCCACCAGGAAGAGGGAGGGGATGCGACGGGACTCACGTGCTGCGAATTCCGAGCGAGTGTGCGGCAAGGCTGCCGCGTCCCGGGTGTGGCGAGCAGGTGGGCACGGCTGTTCCTCAGATGATGGTGGGCACCCTCCCGCTGCTGTTGTTCCGGTTATTGTTTCTCCTGGACAGGTTGGGAGTGGCCATGAGCACGAAGCGTTCGTCGGGGCAGCCGTACTGCAGCAGCACGTCGATGCACTCCTGGCTGGAGGCCTGCCGGGCGTAGGCCAGCGCTGTGTTCCCGTGGGCATCTCGGGCCATGACGTCCACCCCATACTGCGGAGGTAACGGAGCCCACATTAGTATCCCGGGGGATGTGATGGAAGGAGGGGGCAGAGACGCTTCCTCTCAGCCCTTGTGCGTGGCTGGTGCTTGGACAGCGGGGCCAGCTACAGAACTGGCTGGCACAGCCTGCACCCGTGGCCAGCGGATTCTTTTAAGGAAAGAACGTGTCTTCTTTTCAACTGAAAGCCCCTCCTTTGTGCAACATTAAGGAATCAAAGATAACTTTAGTTTTGCTGTTTCTGTTTTGACTTTCCAACTGCACAAAGAAAAAAAAGATCACTGTTTTGATCTCAGAATTTTCATTATAAGAAATATATAAATAACACATAAGAACTCACGAAGAAAAAAAAATCACCCATAATCTTGCTATTCAGAGATAACCTTTGTCAATTAGTGGATTTCCTTCCAATGGGTTTTCTTTGAATCTAAATGTGTATGTGCCTAATTGAGATAAGACAATACAAATAATTTGTATTGTTTTTCATTTTTTATTGATCACTATACTGTGATCATTTTCTTACATCATTAAACATTACTCAGAGGCCAGGCGCGGTGGCTCACGCCTGCAATCCCAGCACTTTGGGAGGTTGAGGTGGGCGGATCACGAGGTCAGGAGATAGAGACCATCCTGGCTAACTCGGTGAAACCCTGTCTCTACTAAAAATACAAAAAATTAGCCGGGCGTGGTGGCAGGTGTCTGTAGTCCCAGCTACTCAGGAGGCTGAGGCAGGAGAACGGTGTGAACCCAGAAGGCGGAGCTTAAGTGAGCCGAGATCGCGTCACTGCACTCCAGCCTGGGCAACAGAGTGAGACTCCGTCTCAAAAAAACAAGAAAAACAACAAAAAACACTACTCAGAAGCACGACACAAGCTGTGTGCAGTGGCTCACTGCAGCCCAGGAGTTCAAGATTAGCCTGAGCAATATAGGGAGATCCTGTCTCTAGAAAAAAACACGTTTTTTAAAAACTAGCTGGGCATGGTGGCATGTGCCTGTGGACCTAGCTACACAGGAGGCTGAGGTGGGAGGGTCACTTGAGCCTAGGAGGCAGAGGCTGCCGTGGGCCGAGATCACACCACTGTACTGTAGCCTGGGCAACAGAGTGAGACCCTGTCTCCCCACCCCACAAATAGCATGACACAGGCAAGTCATACAATATTCCACCACAGGAACAGAATTCAGAACTCTCCCCTCAACCGTGCACACTCTGTAAAAATTGTCACTGGAGCTGGGTGCGGTGGCTCAATCCTGTAATCCCAGCACTTTGGGAGGCCGAGGTGGGAGGATCACGAGGTCAGGAGTTTGAGACCAGCCTGACCAACATGGTGAAACTCCGTCTCTACTAAAAATACAAAAATTATCTGGGCTTGGTGGTGTATGCTTATAATCCCAGCTAGTCAGGAGGCTGAGGCAGGAGAATTGTGTGAACTCAGGAGATGGAGGTTTCAGTGAGCTGAGATCGTGCCACCGCACTCCAGCCTGGGTGACAGAGTGAGACTCCATCTCAAAAATAAATAAATAAATAAATAAATGAAAATAAATAAAAAATTGTCACTGGAAGAAACAGTACCCGGATGTATGTCCTCACACAGAATCTTTCTCAGGGCTAAAATACACAACATTTTTAAGCTTTTTGCTCATGAAAAAGAGTGAATTCACTTCCACTTCTGCCAACGCACAATGTGTGGGAGTCTGAGGCCACTCAACAGCATGGAACCAGCGCTATCAAAGGAATTTTTGCTCAGTTGGAGGAGGAAACATGGCCTGTAATTTATAACTGTGTTCTCTGCTCCCACCACCAATTCGTATGTTTAAGTCCTAACACCCAGTACTTTCGCATGTGACTGTATTTGGAGATAGAGCCTTTATGGTGGTATATGAGCTTAAATGAGGTCACAATAGGGTTAGTATTTGTATGAGAAGAGGAAGAGGCTGTGCTGGGAGGCTGATACCTGTAATCTCAACACTTCGGGAGGCTGAGGTGAGAGGACTGCTTAAAGCCAGGAGTTCAAAACCCATGGGCAATATGGTAAGAACCTAACTCTACAAAAATTAAAAAAAAATTTGCCATTCATGTAGGTGCATGCCTGTGGTCCCAACTACTTGGCAGGCTGGCGGGGGATTGCTTGAGCCCAGGAGTTCGAGGTTACAGTGGGCTATGATTGTGCCACTGCACTCTAGCCTGGACAACAGAGCAAGACTTTGTCCCAGAAAGAAGGAGGGGAGGGTGGAAAGGAAAGATCTCCTAGGAGCAAGTGCAGAGGAAAGGACCTGTGAGAACACAGGGAGAGGGCGGCCGTCTACCAGCCACGAGAGGCCTCACCAGGAACCATCCCTGCCGGGCCTTTGATCTTGTACTTCCAGCCTCCAGAACTGTGAGAAAATAAATGTCTGTTGTTGAAGCACCTGTCTGTGGTATTTTGTTATGGCAGCCCTAGCACACTACACACAACTCTTATTTAATTTGCATTACATCACATGTATGACTAATGAGTAAACGGTAATATCTTTGATTTTGGTGTAGTGTCTGTATATCTCATCTCATTCTCCAACTGCACCCATCAAAAAAGTCAGATTAAGGCCAGGTGCGGTGGGTCATGCCTGTAATCCCAGCACTCTGGGAGGCCGAGGTGGGTGGATCACGAGGTCAGGAGTTCGAGACCAGTCTGACCAACCTGGTGAAACCCCGTCTCTACTAAAAATATAAAAATAGGCCGGGCGTGGTGGCTCACGCTTGTAATCCCAGCACTTTGGGAGGCCGAGGTGGGCGGATCACAAGGTCAGGAGATCGAGACCACGGTGAAACCCCGTCTCTACTAAAAATACAAAAAAAATTAGCCGGGTGCGGTGGCGGGCGCCTGTAGTCCCAGCTACTCAGGAGGCTGAGGCAGGAGAATGGCGAGAACCTGGGAGGCGGAGCTTGCAGTGAGCCGAGATCGCGCCACTGCACTCCAGCCTGGGTGGCAGAGTGAGACTCCGTCTCAAAAAAATAAATAAATAAATAAATAAATAAATAAATAAAATAAAAATTAGCTGGGTGTGGTGGCGGGTGCCTGTAATCCCAGCTACTCAGGGGGCTGAGGCAGAAGAATCGCTTGAACCTGGGAGGTGGATGTTGCAGTGAGCTGAGATCGCACAACTGCACTCCAGCCTGGGCGACAGAGCGAGACTCTGTCTCAAAAAAACAAAAAAAAAGTTAGATCAAAAACATGCAGAAGCCTGCAGCACTCCACACGTGCGGCTGTAGAACGTTGCTGCCGTGCGGGACTGACCCATCCTGCCCTGCGAGTGGAGACAGAAGAGCCTCCAGCTGGGTGTCCCACCTCTGGGTGCCGTCCCCACTTCTGGGCACACGCTTGCCTTCCCTAGCTGGGGAGCCTCCCTGCAGGTGGAGCCTGCCTCTGGTGGGGACCTGCCTCGGCTGAAGCCCCAGGGGTCCACGGGCAGCCCCTAGGTGGGCACGGCTTCTCAGATGTAGCTCCCGCGTGGCACCGGCAAGGCCTCTCTGCTCAACCACTTTATCCTTCTCTTTTACTCATTCAAGCATTGTGCCACATGCTTCAACAGGAATGTACAGAATACTTTTCCCCAGTAGAAATTCATCAGAATGGTTCAAAAGAAGCCCTCTGACAAACTCCTGCCACATCAGACCTCAAAGTTGAGGGTCCAGTATTTCTCTGTTAAGTGAGTAAAAACACCAAAGGTTTGGAAATGGGGAAACCCTACAAGTCATCCCGTTAATACACCGCCTTCTCTCCAGAAGATGATGGAAATGAAAAAGAGGGACACCACCAACCCTCCCTGACAAGGGGCAATCACAAGGTGGCAATTTTCAGAAACTGACAAGTACTGTACAAGGAGGACCGACTGTGTCTGTATAAGGCCCTCTGTTCTTCAATCGGAGTTTCCCATTAGGAACTGTTCCCACTTGCGGACAAAGAACAACAGCCTTCTGCCAGAAAGATGCCCATGGAAGCAGAACAAAGCAGACAGTGCCCCCTGTGGCCTCGTCCTCTGCCAGGGGTGCCAACCACCTACCCAGATCAGGAGCTGTGCCAGGACCACATTCCCCTTGCGGCAGGCCAGATGCAGCGCCGTGCGGCCGTCTCCCTCCCCGCAGGTCTCGTTCACCTCGTCCCGGGAGCCGTGTGCCAGCAGCAGGATGGCCGTCCGCAGGTCCTCGTCGGCGGTGGCCCGCAGCAGGTGCTGGCCCAGGGACAGCTCCGTGCAGGGTAGTGGGGCCAGGAAGAGCTTCTGCTCGTACTTGGCACGGATCCACCGTTCCTTCTCTTCCCTGCAAAGAGCCACCAGACAGGTGCGGTCACGATCAGGCTCGAGAACACAGGCTGCAAGCACCCGCCCCATGTGGTCGGGAGGAGCCGAGAGGGAAGTGAAGTCACAGAAAGCAAAGGTCCTCACTCGGCACAAAGCTCCCTGGAGGAAAGGTTTATCCACCTTCACAAAACAGTATCCTCACCAGCAGCATCAGCCCAGAAATGCAGGTTCTCAGGTCACGCCCCAGACCCCCTGAATCCGAACCTCTAGGAGTGTTTTAACAAGCCCTGCAGGGGATTCCAATGGGCCCAAGGTGTGAGAGCCGCTGATCTCAGGCTCATACGCTGTCTTGGTGCTCTTTGTTTCTGTCACTTTTAGTGCAGAATCTGTCCTTGGAAAGAAAACTATCAAGTGATCAGTGGCTCTCACACGCCGACACACAGGGGAAGCCACCCTACTGCCTGGGACCGGCACGATGGAAGCAAGGTCTCCGGGGCTGAGAGCTGTTTTCCTGTAAGCAGGGCTGTAGTCAGGACTATAGGACACTTGGCTGAAGCTGGGGGGTGGGGGAACGGGACAGCCAGTGCGCTCCCCACACCTGGGGGTGCCCATGTGGTCTTAGCTCCAAACTCCGAAATAGGGTGTGTGTGTGTGTGGACTCCCCAGGTTTTCTAAACCCTTTCAGCTGAAGAAAACATGGCAACAGACTCAAGCAGGAGATGGCAGACTCCAATGAGGAGGTTTAGAAGGGAGATGCAGCTTTTGGAATCTCCAGATACTTGGGAAACGCTTAAGTGGAAAGGACAGAATGTCAGGAATTCCTTAAATGACAAAGAACGGTTGGGTGTTCTGAAGGAAACTGTTCCAGGGCCTGGGAAACAGGCAAGTAGCTCCCAGAAGCCAGAGCTGAGCCCAGAGGCAGAGGAGAGGACGAAGCTGGGGAGGGGGTGCATGGGGTCGGTGGTGTGGGGAGCAGATGATGCTGGTGCCTGCCCGCCCCCAGCATCACAACCTGGCTAAGATGGGGCTGCCTGAGCTGGCCAGTGTAATACGTGGTGGTCTTCTCCTGGGGGGTCTACAGAGGATGGGGACCCTGCTACCCATCTGTGGGGAGGGCTGAGAAGGAGAGGACAGGACGAGATGAGAAGCTCAAGAAATAGAAGAGGAAACCGACAGTAAGACATGTTGACGTTGACCCAAAGGAAGGACCCCAGGCGAGCAGCTCCTGTCCTCTGGCTACTCACGATGGTTTCTGGTTTCTTAAAAAAGAGTGTAAGAGATACTGAAAACTCAAGACTCTGTAGCACTGCTAGAGGGGGGAAAAAAGGTGGGGCGGTGGGGGACAAGAAATTTACAAAGAACAATGTGAGATTTTACAAGCAGCTCTTGAAATTTTACAAGGATCCCAGGAGCAGAGCCCAGCCAGGGAAGTGCTCCCTGCCTGCCTTTTTGATGAGTATGACAAAGAAAAGAGGCCGAGTGCAGTGGCTCACGCCTGTAATCCCAGCACTTTGGGAGGCCGAGGTGGGTGGATCACCTGAGGTCAGGAGTTTGAGACCAGCTTGGCCAACATGGTGAAACCCTGTCTGTACAAAAAATACAAAAATTAGCCGGTGTGGTGGCAGGTGTCTGTAATCCCAGCTACTCGGGAGGCCGAGGTAGGAGAATCGCTTGAACCCGGGAGGCAGAGGTTGCAGTGAGCCAAGACTGTACCACTGCACTCCAACCTGGGTGACAGAATGAGACCCTGTCTCAAAAAAAAAAAAAAAAAAGTAAGAAAAAGGAAAGAAAAGCCCTACATGTAAGAAGGCACTGCAGTTACCCACAGAGACTTTAATAACGCGCTGATTCACAATTGCCCTCTCCAAAATTCAGGTTTCTCCAGGGGAATAATCAGAGTACACAGCTACAAACGACACGGAGAAATCACTCAGGGCCTCCGCGAAAGTCTAGAAAGAAAACTCATTACCCATGACATTTCTGCTTCCGAAGTACAGAGGAAAGGCCTTGTTTACACCTTTTACCCGTGTTTACATTGCACCTAGTGATCTAGTGTCGGGTTAGCCCTAATCTGTTTTTAAATACTTAGGCAAACAAATTCTTCCAGGAGTAAATCTGGATTAGTTTTGCTTCACTTCCTGGTACATGGAGTGACCCCAGAGTGACCCCCGACTCTTTTCATTTGGAGATTTCCAGGACAAACACTTGGCTACAGCTGAGAACTGACACCAGCCCCCACAAATGCAGCGGAGGCAGCCCCCGCACCCCACTCGGGCAAAAACACAAGCACAAAAGCACTGACAATGTCTGGGAAATATGGGTTCAGGAGACAGACAAAAAGAAGTGCTTCTGATACTGTTTTAAAGGCCTTATTGAAAATGTATTAAACATGTGTTGATGCATTTCATAAATCACAAAAGAGAAGGAGCAAAACGTGAATTAAATGAAAAGGGATGACGGGGAAGGATACATCCAGACTTTCCAGTTCCAATTTGCTAACTCTCATTTTTTGGTAGGCATTAAAATCACAACTATTTGATTCCGCTCCAATTGATTTTAATAGCCATTGCCAAATCACCCAGGGATAAACCAGATAACTTAACACAGTAGCTACAGTGCTAACTGCAATTATTCAATTTCTTTTTAATATTCGAACACCCCAGCCAAAGAATGAGTACAAACCTACAGCTCCTGAACCCTTCCCTGTGTCAGTATGTTCTCCCCGGGAACTGCTGGAGTGATTCTTTGTCCTCCCATCTCACCCCACAGGCAACCTCATCTGAACTGACAAGCTGATACACATTTGAATGAGCTGTTCTTTACTTTTAAAAATCAGGATTGTTGGCCAGGCCCGGTGGCTCACGCCTGTAATCCCAGCACTTTGGGAGGCCGAGGTGGGCGGATCATGAGGTCAGGAGATGGAGACCATCCTGGCTAACACGGTGAAACCCTGTCTCTACTAAAAAAAAAAAAAAAAAAAAAAAAAAAAAAAAAAAAAAAAATTAGCCGGGCGTGGTGGCGGGCGCCTGTAGTCCCAGCTACTTAGGAGGCTGAGGCAGGAGAATGGCGTGAACCTGGGAGGCGGAGCTTGCAGTGAGCCGAGATTGCACCACTGCACTCCAGACAGCCTGAAACTCTGTCTCAAACAAACAAACAACAAACAAACAAACAAAAATCAGGATTGTTGATACCACCTTAATCCTTCAAGAATGGCCATAAAAAAAAAAAAAAAAACAAAAAACAGTAGATGTTGGTGTGGATGTGGTGTACAGGGAACACTTCCATGCTGCTGGTGGGAACGTAAACTCGTACAGCTGCTATGGTAAACAGTGTGAAGATTCCTTAAAGAACTAAAAGTAGAACTACCATTTGATCCAGCAATCACACTATTGTATCCACCCAGAGGAAAAGAAGTCATTACATGAAAAAGATACTTACATACACGTTTATAGCAGCACAATTCACAACTGCAAAATTGTGGAACCAACCCAAATGGCCATCAACCAACAAGTGGATAAAGAAACTGTGGTGTATATATATATATATATATGATGGAATACTACACAGCTATAAAAAGGAATGGGTGAACAGCATTTGCAGTGACCTCCAATGAGAGTGGAGACTATTATTCTAAGGAAAGTAACTCAAGAATGGAAAGCTAAACGTCGTATGTTCTCACTGATATGTGAGGGCTAAGCTATGGGGACACAAAAGGCATAAGAATGATACAATGGACTTTGGGGACTTGGGGAGAAGAGTGGGAGGGGGGCGAGGGATAAAAGACTACAAATAGGGTACAATGTATACTGCTCGGGCACCAAAATCTCACAAATCACCACTAAAGAACTTACCTATGGCTGGCTGTGGTGGCTTACGCTTGTAATCCCAGCAATTTGGGGGGCTGAGGCGGGTGGACTTCTTGAGGTCAGGAGTTCGAGACCAGCCTGGCCAACATGGAGAAACCCTGTCTCTACTAAAAATACAAAATAGCCGGGGGTGGTGGCGTGCACCTGTAATCCCAGCTACTCGGGAGGCTGATGCAGGAGAATCGCTTGAACTCAGGAGGGTGGAGGATGCAGTGAGCCGAGATTGCGCCATTGCACTCCAGCCTGGGCAACAAGAGTGAAACTCCATTTCCAAAACAAAAGTTTTCAGCCAGGTGCGGTGGCTCATGCCTGTAATCCCAGCACTCTGGGAGGCTGAGGCTGGGCAGGCCACCTGAGGTCCAGAGTTCGAGACCAGCCTGGCCAACATAGTGAAAACCCGTCTCTACTAAAAATACAAAAATCAGCCTGACGTGGTGGCACACCTGTAGTCTCAGCTACTCAGGAGGCTGAGGCAGGAGAATCGCTTGGATCTAGGAGGTGGAGGCTGCAGTGAGCCAAGATTGCGCCACTGCACTCCAGCGTGGGTGACAGAGCAAGAGTCTGTTTAAAGAAAAGAAAAGAAAAGAAAAGAAAAGAAAGCAAAACAGAAGCTTTCAATGCTGACTTCTGAGTCCTTTGGGACTGCAATATTTCAGTGTTTTTTCGACACTAGGAGGTGATCAGGCAGCTAGGGGCAGTCACTGGGCTTTGTGTCTGCATCAGACGTGATTCTTGTTAGCAGCTGAAATTTAACTAGTATGAAAACAGGACTCAGACAAGGGCGCTGGGTTTTTTGGGTGCTACTTCAGCAACCTCACGCATGTCAGTCCCCTGCTGTGACTTGAAGCCCACCTCCTATGGATGCTCCCATCCTGATACCAGGGGCAAAGCTTAGCTCCCTGCACTTTCTGCAAGGCCCAAAGGCAGGAAAAGCAAAACTCCCCACCAATACTGGGCTCACAGGCTTACTCTTAAGCACTAGCGAGATTGTTGCTTGCGTGCCTGCTTTTTTCGACTTAGTGGTGCAGATGTTCACCTTTCTAATAACTTCTTGGACCCTCCTTTCCTCATCTGTCAAATGGGGACAGTGACATCTACACCAGGCAGGGCTGTTTTGGGATTTGGGATCACGCATTTGGATGACACCATGGCC